GATGATGATGATGATGATGATGATGAGAGATGCCACACACTGGTGGACTGCAGATATCTCAGCTTCAGATACAGTTGTAAAACAACCTAGTGGGTATTTATGCTCTCTCTTATTATGGTTGTGTAAAATCATCAGCCCTGTACCTACTGACCCCATCAGAAGGGATCCATCTGTAAAACAGTAGAAATGATTGGGAGACATGCCGTCGTGAGAGGTTCATCCAGACAGACCTGTCTTCTATCTCGAGGGGGTTACTTTGGATGGTTTTACTTAAATGGTTTACTTCTGATAGTTTTACCTTAGATGGTTTTACCTCGATGGGTTTACTTTGGATAGTTTTTCCTCAAAGGGATTACTTTGGATGGTTTTACCTCAGACAGTTTTACCTGGAGGGGTTCTACATGAAGTGGTGTACTCTGTATGGTTTTACCTTGAGGGGTTTTACTTCAAGGAGTTTACTTCAGAYAGTTTTACCTCACATGAGATTTGAAGCACCTCCTGACTTTATCTCATTAGGTCCTTCTGGATGAGAAACTGAACTTCAGAACTGTCGAAGGACTTGGAGGGTTCCTGTTTGTCTTTCAGTTGTTTGGTCCAACAGGGCTCTTCCTCTCCTGGTCRTGTGTCAGCGGTGCCGGCAGTGTCTCATGAAAACCAAGGCGTGACTCCGAGGTCAACACTTCAGGTTTCTTCACTGGTCCCCAGCTGTCACCTCAGCATGGTCACTTTCTGCTCCCCCCAGGCCTGCAGAACTGTGTCAGCAAAGACAGACCGGACACCAGAGATGTCAGAAATATGACCCCGACCTCCTCGTGTCCTTAGTCTCTCTGCTCCGGTTCTTTGTCCAAGCTCTAAATGTGGATCAGGAAGGTGGTTCTGCTCACTTCAACCTAGTTGTGGGCCAATGTAGGTACATGTAGGGACAGGTGGGACATGTAGGGACTGGTGGGACATGTAGGGACAGGTGGGACACGTAGGGACAGGTGGGACACGTAGGGACAGGTGGGACACGTAGGGACAGGTGGGACATGTAGGGACTGGTGGGACATGTAGGGATTGGTGGGACATGTAGGGACTGGTGGGACATGTAGGGACTGGTGGGACATGTAGGGATTGGTGGGACATGTAGGGACTATACAATTTGGTGAAGTCTCCTTCAGTTTTTAGTTATTTTCCAAAACAGAATGTATTTTTCTTGAAAAGTTTCCTTTTTATTTTCAGAATTGCCTGCCTGAAGTGCGTGTAACATCACCAGACCAGATCCTTTGGCTCTGACCATCATGAGGAGCAACATGCAGATGAAGCCGTGTGCATAATTAACGATGAGGACGAGCAGAGGAAGAGGAGGGAACAATAGAGATATATCATCAGACGCTGAGAGACCAGGAGGAGAACAAAGACCGTTTTTTACAGAACGAGGTGGTGGTGGGGGGAGATGGTGAAGGCTCGGGCATTAATAACTGAGAGTGACTCCCTCACACACAGACACACACCCCCACACAGACACACACCCCCACACAGACACACACCCCCATACAGACACACACACGTGCGTTGTTAAGCCATGACACAGACGGAGGATAGACCCCCCTCGTTGCTATAACTATATTGGGCTTATCACCAAGACACAGAGCACCATTCACCAACACAATATCATTATTTACACCCAGATGGGGGGAAGGGGGGTACACATCAGGGTGTGTGTGTGTGTGTGTGTGTGTGTGTGTGTGTGTGTGTGTGTGTGTGTG